TGAAAATACAGGTTGTATTTTTTTCCTGTGGTATCAGCTCTGTGTTTCATTCACAAGTCAGGCCTCTGGGATGGCTGCCGTGAAGACACACGCAGTCGTCATCAAGCGTGGCTCTGCCATCGCCCCCTTGGCAAGGCCTCGGTTGCCTCCAACCCTCCTGCAGCCCACCTCTGCCTGCCTCCTCCCACACAGCCCCAAAAAACCAACTGCCTCCAAACGTCCTCCCAAGGGCTGATCAACGAGGGGGCAACCGCTGCTCTGGGAAAGTGCCTTCCCACCGATTGCACCGCTCTCCCAGGAAGATGAGTAACCCTGCTTTGCCCCCAAGTCAGCCAGCAACGAAATCACCCAAGAACCGATTCGGCAGGTAAACTTCTGATCTACATAAGCTAGCTAGCTATGTCAGTTAGTTTTAATTATATCCAGAATAAAGGACCTGTGAACGTGAGGTTTTTCTCTAGGCTTTGTTTTCTCTAAGAAATTCTCATTTCTCTTGGCAACAGCTCGGCTGAATCGCAACACGAGCAACAAACAATCAGCAAAAATAAATATTGTTCTGTAAATAGCACTGAGGTGTGCTCAGCAAAGTTGATGAAGGGAAGAATAATCAAACAAACATCAATATTTAAGACAGCAAAAGGGCTTGAACACCCCAGAGTTGTTTCACAAAAAAGAAGTCCAAGTATTTCCTCTGGCAGCAATTTCTTCCTAAAACCAGAAAAATCAACCCTCCAGCCCTCCCTCAGGAGGAGGTATGGGTGAAGAAAGATTTCACTGAGTTTTCCTCCATTATTCTGTCCCTTTCAAACATTTGAAATCTTGCCCATACCTTGTGGCTGGCTAAAACCAGACATACTCCTTCTGATGCCTCTTCCAGGAGCAGCATGCACCAATTCTTGGTAAGGAGAGCCTTGACCTCCCAAACTCATTACTCGCCTCTCAGCTTGGTTCTCATTCAGTTAAGTTTTCTTTTCCCCTTTTTTTTTAAACTCAAATATTTAATTAATTTGTGATTCAGCTCTACAAGCAGCTTAAAAATATCAGGCTCTGCAAACCAGTTACATCTACAGCCTCCCCAGTCACTAAGGTCCTCACCACTGCACGTGTTTTGGGTCTCATTAGCTTAACGTGTCAACATCCCCTCCCTTCCAGCAGCACAGGCTCCAGAGCCTTTAAAGGCATGAAAATAAGCACTTCTTGCTTCAACCTGAGAACATATTGGGCTGAAGGTGAGGAAGAATACAAAGAGAAGTGCCAGAAGGTGCCCTTTTCACAGTGACTTACTTGTTTCCCACGCAAACCCCAACGGTGAGCCCTATTGTACAGAGTAAGCAGCTAAAATTGAAGTTACAATAAAACTCACCTATGGCAGTGCAGGAAGAAGGAAAGCATCGATCAAGGCAGCTAAGAAATTGTTTGGATGTAGCATCACTGAAGTCTCTCTCTTTACCTATTTAGGGATTTGGCCAGTTCTACAGCATTTTAGGATCTGCCCTCAACTTCGGTTGAGTACTGCCTGTTAAGGAGGACAGCCCACCATTAGGAGACTTGAAAATAGCCATGCTTGAAACTCGGCATTGTCCAGCTAGTGAAAATCCTCATGAACGTTTCTCTCCTGGACCTGTTCAGACAGCACCAGCCACACAGAGGCAAAGCCCACAACCATCGGTCCCTTCTGTGGCACCAAAGCCCTGCTCTGAAAACCAGCATGGAAATTCATAGAGCAACTGCTTTCATTTCTCCTCTTAACTAGCACAGCAATTTCTTCTCCTGAATAACAAACCTTAACACCAGTCCCTTATAAACACATCCCAAAGCAGTCACACTTTACCTCTAGCTGTCCCACAGCAGGTGCTGATAAGTGTTGCCAAAGAAGTTGTAAAAATCCCAGTAGTTTGGGTTCCTTACAGTAACTCCTACCTAGCTGCCTATATTAATTGAGAGAGCAAGCACATTATATAAGGAGATTAAGGCCATGTCATATTTACAACCTCGGTGTCCCCAGCAAGAGAAATTGCTCAGCTGTTACTGTCAGTGCCTTCTTCAAACAGGAACCCCGCTGACAAGATGATGAATTCAGAATATCGTTGCCAATTAATGATTTGTAGGCAGAAGGGATTTCAATAGTTCCCATATGTTTGTGAGGGTGACTGGGATTTACATCAACTCTAATAAGAGAGAGTAGTCTGCTCTGTCCAGACGTGACACTGGAGCTTGGAAAATGTCATCTTTGCAGAAGAAATTTTAATAAACAAAGCCAAGCTCTTCTGGGTTGAAAATGTTTCCCAACACGGGGTCACCAATAACCTGCTTACGCCTGAGTGAAAGCGAGCAGGGAGACCACTTGCAAGAGGCGGCCAAGTGATTTACAAACCAGAGGTCAGAAGTTATTTAGGTGTTCGTCAAAGCTAACCACAGAGTGCCAGGACCATCATTACGTCAGCCAGGAGCGCGGTTCCTAGACACCGGGCTGTGGGAGGGGGGGAAAAGCAAGCGTCTACAAGCACATAGGACTTTTCTTGGTGTTACCTATCTGCCTATGGGATGCAAACTTTACTGTCCTAGAAAAAAGAAATCTCATCCTTGTGAATATAATACCCACACCGAAAGCATTCTACTCACACCATACACACATGCAGCCCTCCCGAACGGCCTAAGGCTGAACGTCTCCTATCGACTGAGCATCTCTGAGCCAACCAGCAGGAACACTTGGCAGATGACCCGGGTTAAACACAGGGCATCCAACTGGGGCCCTCAAACAGACTTTGCTGTAGGCACTCGGATCCCATTGATTTGCTGATGGAATTTAGGGCTTTCCTACAAACCAGAACGATAGGCTTTAACAGCTCTAGAGCAATAAACTCCTGCCCAGCCTGCAGGCTGTAGGTGAAGTCTAAGAGTAGTTTCTGCCTTCTGACAGAAGGGCAAGGGGACATCACCCCAAAGCATCTTTACACTTCCAAATTATGGTCACAGTCCTACCCCAACAGAGTCACAAATTGCAGGGCCAGATGCTGTCCTCTCACCTGACTAAGAAAAATGAATTTAAAAAAACAACCCACACCCCAGAATGGAAAGCAGAACCTCCAATCACTAAGATCTTCCATAAGCACACCCTGGACTGCGCTCTCAGTGCCACCGGAGATCTGCCGCTCTGCAGGCACAGCAGGGTCAAAGATAGTCTCAGGTTTCCAGTTTAAACTAGTCCAGTTTTTTGTTTTGGGTGGGGTTTTTTGGGTCTTGGGTTTTGTTACATTTTGAGATCTTTAAGAGTGCTTTAAGATATCCCATCTGCTCATGGGAGGGCAGGATTTGAAAGATGACTAATGGATGTACCTCGTTCCTCCAAAAACTCTTACAGGTGACTGAAGGTAGTGTCTAGACAGAGCACTCAACCTGTGCTTCTTATTTTGGGACACAGTATTTTTAGCCATAATGAAGCAGATGCTTGCTGATCTATCTGACCCACATCCCTCATCCATGACAGCCTACATGTCCTCAGCTTGGACTAATACTGATCTTAACTCCCCTTGTGCAGCACCAAACATCAAGTTTGACTCTTCTCTGCTAAATAGGAGAAGTGCCTTTATTGGCACAGGATACTGATCTTAACTCCCCTTGTGCAGCACCAAACATCAAGTTTGACTCTTCTCTGCTAAATAGAAGTGCCTTTACTGGCACAGGAAAGGCAAAACCAAGTCAGATTTTGCTGTATTGACTGCATCTGGAGAAAGAGAACCCTATCCTGGTCAGAAAGCACATTCTACAAGCTGATTACTAGTTTCTCCAAAGACAAACACACCTACATTTTCTCCCCAAGTTGTCCCTTGAAGAGACTGAACTATGCAATCTTCAGGGGCACAGCGTGTGACCACGGACTAAAGGGTCACGGTCACAGTTTGCTTTGGGTACGCACTGATCTAGCCTTTGCACCAACACTACAAACACCAGTAATGACTGTAGGGAGTGAGGTGAAGAGAAAATGAAACACTGACTTTGGCTGGAGCAGAATCCCTCTGCCTTCTCCATGCGTTATCTATTGCCAAGTGGCTGCATGCAGGAGGCAATTGAGATGGGCCTGATGACCAATACACAATAATTTTGCAAAAACCAAACCACACAGAAATCTTTTTTTCTTTCCCCTTCTACATTCAAATAGGTTTTAAGTTACCTGTTACATATTTACATCAGAAGGGCAATTTTATAAACCAGCATGTAATACAGCAAGCCATAAAATGAGATTATACACTCAGAGTGTATTGCACTTCCTTAAAGTATACTTTTTTAGGTCTTGAGCTTCAGATACCCTAGAGGTCCTACACAAGGCTGCTGACAAATCAGGATACTTAGGCTGACCAGCAACTCGGAAACCTCAGCCAGCTACCTGTCTGAAAACTTCAGCACATATGGAAGCATTTCTATCAGTGGGGCTTTAGGTTTAACTCTGAGCAGCTTCGTATTAAACCATTTACCAGAGAGTAAAAATCAATCAACTCGCACCACATCAAATTCCCACCCCCATCAGAGCGATAAAAAAAGAAACACATACTCCCTGACATACAAAAACAAAAGGCATCTTGCATAGGGAGATCACCTTCAAACACTCCCTTGTACAGTCCAGAAAATGAAACCAAACTTCTAAAATTCATAAGAAAATCCCAATATTGAGATAAAATAACGTAACGCTTTAAACAACAGGCAAGACTGCAATCGTCTCACGGACCCAACAGTACAGTGCTCCAAAGGTAAGTGACGTGCCAGATTCTCCTTGTCCACAGTCCTGTAAGCACCAGAAGGACCCGTACATAGATGTCAAGACCCATTACAACCAGCCAAGGCCTCTCTCTCGATGCTGCCACCGTCATCCAAAGGACCTCAGCGGTGGTGAGAACCTGACCCACCACTGCCAACTCAGCCAGGCGTGAAAGACACGGAAGAGAGAAAAGCCAAGACCATCACCTCGGCCGCTGCAGCACAGCCCCCTCCCTGCAGACCCTTACCTTGGCAGGTGTTGTTCTTCTCCTCATACCCTGCCTTGCACAAGCACTTCCCGATGGGCACCAGCCATTCCCCCTCAGCACTGCAGTGCATCTTCGGTGACTCGTCGGTCACCGAGTGGTTGACGCAGACGCCCGACACCTCTAGCAGCTGCGAGGAATCCGCTCCCGTGATGGTGTCAGGAAAGCGGGCCAGGTTGCGGATCACCGATGGGCATTTCTTGTAGTACACCCGCACAGAGACCAGGGCGATGCAAGCACCCACGTCCTGGAAAGCGAGGTAAAATCCCTTTTTCGTTAGCGGCCCAACATCTCTCACCTCTGTGTTTAGCTTCATAACTCTGTCGCCAAGGTCTAACTCCGTGAAGCTCTCATCGGCAGCGATGGTATCGATCTTTATGTACTGGTTTTCTTTGATGTTCCTCCCGTCTTCATCATCTGATTCAAAGTAATACATGTTAAAAGTCTCTTTGCATGTCCCAAGTCCTCCTGGAAGGCTATTACAGTCCCTCAGGGTGAATTTGAGCTCAATGAAGATGCGGGATGCCCCTTCATTAGAGATCCAGCTGGTCAATAGCCAGTTGTTCTGGTTCTGTTCCATTACCTTGCATACTTGGTATGTGTGTATCGGAGCGTAGTTTTCATCCACCTCACCAATTTCTTCCCACTGTATAGAAAAGAAAAGCATTACTTTTTTAAAAAGTTAAAGTTCCTGCAAAATCTCAGCTTTCCCATCTAAGAGCACCTTGATGTTCAGGAGGTCTTTTAGGCAGGAGAAGTGTTTTCAATGGCAGTGTTTTTCATACTGGAGGCTTGACACATTCCTGATAAAGTCAGTAAAAGACCCTTTAGAAATATAAAAGTAAGGTAGTAAAAACCTATTGTTTCAGAGATTTCAGAAGTGGGAAAACATACTGGTGGGTTTGTCCAATAGTACTTTGTTAGGCAACAAAACAAAAGCAGATGGGGCCATGAGTTGGCTTTTTCCAACACATCCCTATAGGAGAAAAAAGTCATTTACAGTCCGTCTGTCCCCGCTCCTCCAGGCTCCTTTCTACCACATCCTCAAATCACTGCCCAGCACAACCAAGATGACCACATTTCTCCAAGCTATCCTCCCCCACCAAACAGTCTGACAGAAAATCAGCAGGGTGATACAATAAATAAATGGGCCTTCCCTCTCCCCAAGTGTGCCAGTCAGGAATTCCTGCTTATGCAGAGAGATTACTTCCAATAAAAGTTACAGATATTTGCAAATCTCTAGCCATTTTGTGTGCTATCCATGTTTTTAAGCTGAGCTCCAGATAACTTCTTGCAGCCGTTTGTGGGAACTGTAGCAACTGGTCTGTTTTCTTATTTTCATTTTATTTTGGCTACGCTCTGAAGTGCATCACTTTGAAGAATGCTTTTTCCTGACCCAGCACACCACAGTCAGTAGCTCCACAATTGTGCCTGCAACAGAGACACAACAATGTTTCCTCTCCGCTTTTGACAGCTGTAGTGTCACATTAAGAGACGGGACTAACCCACCTAAGCACAGGGAAACACTCAGTAGAACCAGCGGTGGTTTCCCTTGTAGAATCACAGAATGGTTTGGGTTGGAAGGGACCTTAAAGATCCAGTTCCAACCCCCCTGCCATGGGCAGGGACACCTTGCCCTAGACCAGGTTGCTCCAAGCCTCGTCCAGCCTGGCCTTGAAGACATCCAGGGATGGGGCATCCACAGCTTCTCTGGGCAACCTGTTCCAGGTTGTGTTCCCTTCTACTTTGGACCTGCTCATCTGCAAGGGCTTAATACCCAAAGCCTCTTCCATCCTCTGCTCAGCATTGCTGCCCGCAGTTGTGGACGCAGCACAGAGCGTCATTTAGAGGTGCTCTGGTGCAAGGTTAAGAACTGTATTCCAAGCTGCATATCTTCTAAGGCAAAGGCCTTTCCCCCCCACCACTGGAAATACAGCCTGAGATGAAGCTAAGAGCCTTCTCAACCCAGATGCCATTATCCCAGAGCTGACAGGGAACTCACAGAATGGTTTGGGTTGGAAGGGACCATAAAGATCATCCAGTTCCAACCCCCCTGCCATGGGCAGGGACACCTTCCACTAGACCAGGTTGCAGCCCCCTTCAGGTACTGGAAGGCTGCAATAAGGTCTCCCCAGAGCCTTCTCTTCTCCAGGCTGAACAAGCCCGATTCTCTCAGCCTTTCATAGGAGAGATGCTCCAGGCCTCTGAACATCTTTGTGGCACTCAGACCCCCTCAGAGCCAATACAGCAAAGTCTTTTTCTAAGGGAAACGCTGTTCTTAAATTACAAATTAAAATGGCAGCAGTAAATGGCATGAAAACATAACCTGACGCTACAGTCCAACATGAGATATAAATACCACCAGCAGAAAAGCATTTCTTCTCCTCCCTCACCTGGGATGAGAAAGTGGGGACCCGGCAATTACAGCAAGACATGGCTGCCATGATGTGCACAGTTCACACGTACCACCAGCCGTCCCAGTGAGGAACCTAAGGTCGTTTATGTCCTGCTAAACAGTATTTTAATTTCTAAACCCTTTTTATATCCCTAGGCTTAAACAGGCCATGACCCTACTGTGATTAACATGTACTTGTCACTTCGTCCCTCCTGGTAGTCCCACAGAGTAAGCTGGAGACACGCCTGCAGCGAAAGCAGGGCAGATCCGTGCAAGATTTACTATGAATTTTAGGGAGAGGCAATTACCAATTATGAGGAGTAGAGCCATTGAGAAAACACACAGTAAACGTATGTGAGAGCACACACCTGCAGCTAGCTTCTCTACACTCCAGTTAATAGGGTGGGGTTAGATACATGAAATTAAAAAGTAGAAAAGCACCATTGTTCAATTACTGAGATTGAGTGCTAAATATCATAAAATCACAGAATGGTTTGGGTCTGAGGGAACCTTAAAGCCCATCCAGTTCCAACCCCCATGCCATGGGCAGGGACACCTTCCACTAGACCAGGTTGCTCCAAGCCTCATCCAGCCTGG